GTGTTTAAAGTCAAGCTAGAGAACTCAATGAAATGCTACTCGGCGTTTTCATAGAATGCCAAAAGCTAGTCAACCGGATCGAAATTCCAGACAGTAAAAAGTAATTATCCAATCAAATTGAAGCGTTCCCACGCTTGTGTTCTATGAGCATGAAACGTGATTGGCTTATTAATGACTGAAAAAAACTTGTGCAGTGAAGCTGAAATTTGAGGTGTGATTGGTTTTATGATAACAGTTCTACTAAGGTAACCTCGGTTGAATCTTCCATAACTTTTCCTAATACTGTACTGTACAAGTGACCAAAACTATGGAGTTCTCGACATACACATTTAAGTCTTGCATCCGTGGTTATCACGCCTACAAAGACATTTGGGAAGCAGCTATAGGGGAATTGTTAAACTGTGAGGTACAATTATTCTTGTTGTTAACTCTACCTGTCATTCGTAAATTAAATCCTGACTAAACAATTTTTATTTTTTTAATAATGCAGCACGAACCATGCAATCCTTACGACACCCATGCTGTTGCAATAAAGCGTCCAAATCAAGTACCAGGGAAGACCAAAAAGCAGAGTGTTATTGTTGGTCATGTGCCTTTGACATTGTCACGAATTTTTCATTTCTTTCTTCAACATGGTGGGACAATTTCCGTGAGGGTTGATGGCAAGCGAAGGAACAAGGGTGTCGGTCTAGAAATCCCTGCAACATATTACTTCAAGCATCATAAACAATCTAAAATTGAAAGGCTGAAAGAGATCCTTAAAGATAAACAATAACTACAGTATAGGAGTCCAAAGACTTTAGATATACCAGTTTGAATACAAAAATAAAAAAATCGAACATTTTTGAGGACCATTTTTTGCAATGTTTTACCGTATCTATAGATTGATATCGTTGTATCCAGGTCAAATTTCACGCTAGCGKGAAGAAAATTTTATCGTAAAATCGAAAATATCGTAAAATCGAATATCGTTAGATCGAGGTCGTTTTACATACATTTTATTATATTTTTGTCGGGGGAAAGACTCTTCACCGTAAAACCCAGGATATCGTTAAATAGAGCATCGTAAAATCCAGGTTCCACTGTAGCACTTCAACAATGATATTTTACCTTGAAGATTTTTTTGCAAAATACGCTTTTGCTCATAATGGAATTTGATAAGCAATATAAAATATTTGCTACCAACCTTTATGGGCTCCCGCTTATTTTCTATACATTACATGAATTTTTTTTTAGGGGCTCGCCATCTTTAGAATCCAGAGAAGAACAATTTCCTCCAATGGCAGCTTTCACTGCACAACACCAAAGAGCGAGAAATCAAATTGCAGAAAGATTTCATAAAACATTCATGACCACACAGTCCTCCAATAATTCAATCCTTCACAATGGATTTTGCTATCCAGTTGTGGCGTTGCATTAATCTAGGCAATGAGATATCTTAAAGCCTGCTTTTCACTACGACACAAACCTAAGACCAGTGCTAAGCGCAAGTGCGCAAGGCTCATAAACACCGTGAAAACCGACCCAACGCAAACACAAACTTAAACGCAAACTGAAACACAAGGATCAAAATGTTTCCTTCTCTTGCGCTTAAGTTTGGGGCTGTGTTTGCTCTCACTTGGATGCTACGGCAGTGAACGACAAATGCAGACGCGGACTACATGTACAAAAGTATTGAATAGTAACTACTTCAAAGAAGAATTAAATATAGCATTTGAGTACCCTAACTGCTTGCCTTTAAATCTTCTAGCCCTCAATTCTTCATCGTGATTGCTGACATCAATAATGTATCACAGGACTGTGCCTTTACCTGACATTTTATCACCTTGATTTTTTGAACTTTTAATCTTCAAGCGTTAAACTGTTTTTCTTGATTGCTGACATACCATCAATAATGTGTCAAAGAACTGTGCCTTAAACTGCCATTTTATTAACATGCAGTTTTGCAATTTTCATTCTCATTCCTTCAATCGTTCATCGTGAATGCAGACTATTACCAATAGTTGTACCTAGGAACTATGTCTTGGCATTACTAGGTCAGAAATGATATGATTACTTTACTTTAATGACAAATGTGTATTTGTATTTATTTATCAGGAATCAATGGAAGAAAAATCATGAATCACTTCAGTACAAAAGAATGAAATTAAATGCACTGAAACAATGTACGGTAATATTTCAGTCTTCTTGTTGTTTCCCATGACAAGCTCTGTCCTTCAAGCATATATGGCAGGTATACATGTCCTTTATGTAAAGACAATTCACAAGTCATTTCCTGTGTTATTTCATTGGAAAAGCTACTATGTTTATCCCATGTTTTGTAATTTTCGTTCTTAGTATTCTTCCAGCATGATTGACGAAAACAAAAGACATCAAAAGCCATTTGAGAGAAAAAAACAGCCAAAACTTAACAACACATCGAACTTCGGCAGCCGTTTGAATGGTTCTCGCCTCTGTATTGCTCTATTCATGTTGCTGGCTAACCTCATCGTTTTTACAGCTGAAAAATTGACCAACGTTATTTACGCTGTGTCGTAATAAACAATATATATTTTGGATGCCCTGTGGCTTGTGAGCCAGTATAGTATTGTCAGCGGTCGTTTTGTATTAGTGACTGCCATGTTTGTATTTACCAGATTTATTGTTGATTAAAGCCTATATTTACGGGTTAATCTTACACTACAATTTAATCAGCAATATTCTCGAGAGGTAATGGATAAAGTCTTACGTCCAGAGCGTCTAGAAACCGATCCAAACCGCGGACGGCGGAGAAAGAATGGCTTCACAAGAGGGTTTGGATAAACTTGCAGTTCAAATTTTATTTCACCACACATCTTTCAGCATATAGAGGATTGTCC